CCCCAGAGGGGATAAGTCCTATGACTTAGTAGTCAAAGACGACAAGATCGTTGTACCCAAAACCATGCAGAAGAAGCTAGTCGAATGGTACCATGGTGTACTGATGCATCCTGGCGAGACTCGCACAGAACTGACCATCAGCCAACACTACACCTGGAAAGGACTGCGCAAGACTGTGCAGGCCGTATGTCAGCGTTGCCAGAGCTGCCAACTGAACAAACCCAAGACGCGTAAGCTGGGTTTGATGCCTCCAAAGACTTGCGAGGAGATCCCTTGGGAAAAACTATGCATTGACCTGATAAGTCCATACAACGTCGGGGATCCTAAGAAAAGAATTCCTGTACACTTCATTGTCTAACAATGATCGATCCCGTAACCGGATGGTTCGAGATTGCAGAGATCTGCTCCAAAGCAGCAGACGAAGTAGCCATCGTTCTAGAACAGACGTGGCTTACTTGGTATCCATGGCCTGCTGAGGTTATCATGGATAGAGGACGTGAGTTCCGCGCAGAAGTCGAGAAGACTCTCTGGGATGAATATGGACTTCGTCGCAAGTTCATTACCACACGTAACCCTCAAGCCAACTCGATGGTCGAGCGTGCTCATCAGACCATTCGTAACTTGATAGCTGTTCAGAATATCAAGTGTCAAGACGACCTCGTGAATGGATCCTGGGATGGAGTCCTCACGGCTGTTCAGTTCGGAATGAATGCCACGATTCATACCACCTTGCGTGCAACGCCTGCACAGCTCGTGTTCAATCGTGATGCGATTCACAACGTCCGTTTTCGAAGCAAACTGGAAATACATCAAGGAACGTTGCCAACGACTTATCCAGAAAAACAATGATAGGGAGAACGCGACGCGTGTCCCTCATCAATACAATGTCAACAATACTGTGATGATTCAACAGTATCAGCACCGCAAGTACGGTCAGCCAAAGTACAAAGGTCCTTACAACATAGACCGAGTCAATGACAATGGCACTGTACAGCTCCGACATGCCACCGCCAATGGCGGCACAGTCTACCAGACTTGGAACATAAGGTATATACACCCATACAAGGCCTGATCCCCTTGTAGGATTGCCATCGTGCGACGCACATGTCTACATCCAATCTCCGGAGAGTGCCCCGCACTTTAATTCATATGTTCTCCTTGTCCGACTGATGTCATGCCTCTTGTGACCCTTGTCAGGGGGCGAATGCAATACACGGCGCTTAGCCTTATTCGTGACTCGATCCTAGATAGGGTTTGAGTTCGACTCATGACGTAGTCCTTCGCGAATAGTCATTGAGACAGGGTTCTCATGACTGCTAGTCATACTAGGTTGTCGATGGAACATCACTCTAGATATTTAGCTGGCGTGGAAAGCTTCCACGCTACTAGACAGCTACTAGCTGAAGTTTCCACGTGTTCCGGAAATGGACCGTAGAGTACGTAGAGTTATTACCATAACCTACGATATCACACTTCGAGGCCTCCCTTGGGAGACCAACTTCAATGAGCTTCACAACGATCTCTCTAATGGATTAGTTTTCGTAGCTTTCTAATCTCTCTCATAACTTTCATTCTCTCAAACTCAAAACACTCGAAAGATCTTTACACTAGCTTTTAGCGTAGTGCATTACATTTTGTCCGGTGGGGGGCTTACACTAGCTAGCCCAGTTCCTAAGTGGGCGCCTCCATGCGCCTGAGGCATGCTGGTTTTCCATGGCACCATTCAGCGGGATTGTCTGGGGAGGTGTGGCCTTAACAATAAAACTTCGTTTTTTTTGCAAGCTAGCTGAGCAATGACTGAAGTCATGCTTCCACACTATTTCTTCCAGCTGGAAGGTCAGGAAGTTGCCACTATAATCTATATTTTGTTTGCCTCAATCACAAGTTTGTTGTTTGCTTTCTGAGACTCAGAAACACTACTAGTTTGGAAAGCCAAGCTATTGAGGAGTTGTGCTTCCACACCACTTCTTCCTGTTGGGAGGTCAGGAAGTTCCCACTATGATCCTCAACTATATTTTGTTTGCTTTCTGAGTTTCAGAAACAGAAATTTGGAAAGCTGACCAATGAGTTGTGCTTCCACACTACTCCTTGCTGGAGAAAAGCGCAGGAAGTTGCCATTCGCTATGATCCTCAATTTTGTTTGTTTGCTGTTTGAGAGGGTACAAACTTGCTCCTATGATCATCATCCATGATGGTTTGTTTTCCGAACTTCAGAAAGAAAAGAAATAAACTCTCTCACTCAAACCATGATTCCACACTTCTGTTTGCTGTCAGTAAGTGAGGAAGTTGATGCTATAATCCTGAACTATGTTTGTTTATTTTCTGAGCTTCAGAAAGAGAAGTTTTCAAAGCTGAGCAAGATCTATGAATGCTTCCACACTTCTGCTTGCTGTCAGCAAGTCACCAGGTTGCCACTATGATCCTCAAGACATGTTTTGCTTTCTGAGTTTCAGAAACAGAAGAATGAACTCTCTCATGCAGCTAGAGCTAGAATGTGTTGTTTGAAAGCTGATGTCTTCTCAAAACTTGTTTTGTTACCCAACCATGGATGTTTTTTGAGCTTCAGAAACAGAAATAGTATAAAGTACATGTAGATGAAAGTTGTGAAAGTCGCATCAAACGTCACATCAAATGTCGCAATAAAGTGGTCCAAAACTTCGAAGTCATGAAAGTCGTCTGACATTTAAAGATCAAATTGTCATTGCTATAAACTCTTGATTGTAGTCTTCTGGATTTCATTTCGTTTCGTTGCACGCACCATCACAGCACACCATCACCCACCATGAAGCTACTACTGGTAGCCTTGCTCGTTCCTCTGTTTCGGGCACGGAGATTGCTCTGGATGGCTCCGTTGCTACTTTGCCCGCTGTCAATGCCTTGAAGCTGGAGACTGTTGCACTACGCTAAAAGCTAGTGTAAAGATCTTTCGAGTGTTTTGAGTTTGAGAGAATGAAAGTTATGAGAGGATTAGAAAGCTATGAAAACTAATCGACGAGAGAGATCCACAATCAAAGGATCGTAGATCTGAACTCCGCGGAGACTGTAGAGTGGATAGAGTAGGTTGGTGCGGTAGCAATCCTACTCACTCCACGATCCAAAAAACGGAACGCGTGGAAAATTCGTCTAGCATTTATCTAGTAGCGTGGAATCTCTCCACGCAGCTAAATATCTAGCACGATGTTTCACCATCGACCTAGTATGACTAGCCGTCATGAGAACCCTGTCTCAATGACTATTCACGAAAGACTCAGTCATGAGTCGAACTCAAACCCTATCTAGGATCGAGTCGCGAATAAGGCTAAGAGCCGTGTATTGCATTCGCCCCTGACAAGGGTCACGAAGGCACGACATCAGTCGGACAAGGAGAAAATAATGAATTAAAGTGCGGGGCACTCTCCGGAGATTGATGTAGACATGTGCGTCGCCGTGGCATCTACAAGGGGATCAGGCTTGTATGGTTGTAATACCTTATGTTCAAGTCTGTTAGACTGTGCCGCTACTTGGCGGTAGTATGTCGAGCGTGCAGTGCCATTGTTATGGACTCGGTTGTGTGTAAGGACCTTTGTGCGTGCTGACCGTACTAACCGTTCTGATACTGATGAATCATCATAGTTCCTTGACATTGGTGTTGATGAGGGACACGTGCGTGTTCTCCTTATCGGTTGTTTTCTGGATAAGTCGTTGGCGACGTTCCTTGACTTATTTCCGCGTTTGCTTTGAAACGATGTAGTGAGTCTTGTCACGATTTGACGCCCGTGAACTTGCGACAAGTCCATGGTCATCTTCTCTTTTTATTTC